AAGCTACTCAGTCGCCACCCCCGCCTCTCCTCGCCCGCCCGGAGCGCGCGGCTCTCGGCGCAGTCCGTGGTGCCAGGCGCGCCCTGCGCTCGGCGCTGCCCACGGCGCGGCCCACGGTCCTGGCGCCTGAGCGCGGCTTGCGCTGTCCGAGGTGCTGCCGCTCTGACCGAGCCGCTGCCCGGAGTGAACAGGGGACTGATACTGCCCCTGAGAGGTTGCCACCGCCACGCGTCCCTCCTGGGTGGCCTGGAGCCCGGGAGCGCTGCCTTAGCTTCCCCAAGGGCTCGCCTTTCCTGCGAATGCCCCAAGTTGGGGCCTAGGGTGGGGCCACTGCCTGCCTTTCCAGCTTTCAGCACACCACCGCCTCCTGTCTCTGCCACACTCAGCTGCTTCCCTTGGAGGAGAGACAAGACCGCCGCTCGCGCTGTTTCCAGAGATGGCCGAGGCGTGGGGGCCGAAACCCTCGCCATCGCAAAGGAGCTTCACAGCCCCTCCTCTGAGGGGATGAGGTGGGTACACGTGGTCATAGAAGTCCATCTCACTGACAAATACATTGAAAAGAAGAGGCGGGGGAGCCTCGGAGCTTCCCCCCCCCCGGGGGACCGCCACGCCCCGGACCTCCCCCCGCGGGGGGGCCCAGCCACTCCCATCCACGGTCACCGGGAAAAGTCCAACGCTCCCACCCCGGAGCTCCGCTCTAACCACCACAAAGCCACACGTGACAGAGCTATACGGAAGAAGTCGAAGGGTTGTCGGAAGGGAAGGGAGGTGGGGTGGGGCACTTTTTTCACGGATGTCATCAAATCTGTGTGTTAACAAGCAAATCCGATCAGAAGATGCCTAGCTCTTTGGACATAAAAAATAGGCTTTGTTATAAGATTTCAGTCCCTCACAGAGTAAAACAAGCACCAGAGAATGTGCTGGCAATGGAGACACTCCTCCACTGGGTCCCAGAGGAGAGGGCGCTGTTAGGAAGGCGGGCTGGAGGGGGAGGAAGGGAATCAAGGAAAAGAAGCAAAACGTGTAAGGGACACAAAATGGACAGTGATCTGGGAATGATGACCGGCACGGTAGCATCTTTGACTGAGCCAGTACCGTCTTTAGGATGGGGCATTCGCTCGGTACGCGGTAATGATACTCAGTGGCTGAGTGTGAAATAAAGAAAGAAAGAAAAAAGGAAAAAGAAAGGCAGGAGAGACATCACTCAGAGCACAGGCCAGTGGTGGGGCGTCTCCATGCGCCCCGTGGAGCGGCTCCCCCGGGCGGC